GATGTGTCCGCGAGGTACCCGACCCTCGCCCAAAGAGACCTGGTGCTACGTGGACTGTCCTATTGACTGTGAAGTCACACCCTGGACCCCCTGGGACGACTCCAAGTGCTCCTGTGGCGAGAACCGTAAGTGACTTCTTTATCTTCATTATCTCGTTTCTAATTACCTCTTTATCTTCATTATCTCTTATCTAGTAAGTTGTTTGTCTTCATTATCTCTTATCTAGTAAGTTGTTTGTCTTCATTATCTCTTATCTAGTAAGTTGTTTGTCTTCATTATCTCTCATCTAGTTACTACTTCATCTTCATTATCTCTTATCTAGCTAATAGTTTGTCTTCATTATCTCTTATCTAGCTAATTGTTTGTCTTCATTATCTCTTATCTAGCTAATTGTTTGTCTTCATTATCTCTTATCTAGCTAATTGTTTGTATTCATTATCTCTTATCTAGCTAATTGTTTGTATTCATTATCTCTTATCTAATTACTTCTTCATCTTCATTATCTCTTATCTAGTTATTGTCTTCATTATCTCTTATCTAGCTAATTGTTTGTCATTACCAGTTCATTATGCACTAAAGCACCATTAGAGCCCCTAATGTCCCTGAACTTTTCAGTGGTACCACTGAGATAATTCGGTTTGTGGTTGAGCAGATAGGATCTAAGCGTACAATGACCTGACACGTCGTTAACAACACCTCACTGGAGTTGCTGTGACGGAGCACATCATAAGGAACCAGAGGTCAGGAGACGAGGAGGAGCGTGACACTGTTGATGGTCTCCTCGTCACTCCTGGAGAACCAGAGGTCAGGAGACGAGGAGGAGCGTGACACTGTTGATGGTCTCCTCGTCACTCCTGGAGAACCAGAGGTCAGGAGACGAGGAGGAGCGTGACTCTGTTGATGGTCTCCTCGTCACTCCTGGAGAACCAGAGGTCAGGAGACGAGGAGGAGCGTGACTCTGTTGATGGTCTCCTCGTCACTCCTGGAGAACCAGAGGTCAGGAGACGAAGAGGAGCGTGACACTGTGATGGTCTCCTCGTCACTCCTGGAGAACCAGAGGTCAGGAGACGAGGAGGAGCGTGACACTGTTGTTGGTCTCCTCGTCACTCCTGGAGAACCAGAGGTCAGGAGACGAGGAGGAGCGTGACACTGTTGATGGTCTCCTCGTCACTCCTGGAGAACCAGAGGTCAGGAGACGAGGAGGAGCGTGACACTGTTGATGGTCTCCTCGTCACTCCTGGAGAACCAGAGGTCAGGAGACGAGGAGGAGCGTGACACTGTTGTTGGTCTCCTCGTCACTCCTGGAGAACCAGAGGTCAGGAGACGAGGAGGAGCGTGACTCTGTTGATGGTCTCCTCGTCACTCCTGGAGAACCAGAGATCAGGAGACGAGGAGGAGCGTGACACTGTTGATGGTCTCCTCGTCACTCCTGGAGAACCAGAGGTCAGGAGACGAGGAGGAGCGTGACTCTGTTGATGATCTCCTCGTCACTCCTGGAGAACCAGAGGTCAGGAGACGAGGAGGAGCGTGACTCTGTTGATGGTCTCCACGTCACTCCTGGAGAACCAGAGGTCAGGAGACGAGGAGGAGCGTGACACTGTTGATGGTCTCCTCGTCACTCCTGGAGAACTTGAAGGGGTTACCCAGTAGTACGGTCGGGTTCCTACTCGATTCACAATCGAGAATTCCGGGGTCGAATCCCGGCCGAGAGAGAAATGGTTGGGTACGTTTCCTATCAGCTAATGCAACTGTTCACCGTGTAGTAAGTAATACTCAGCAGTTAGTCAGCTTGTTGTTGGGTTGTATCTTTGCGGGGTCAGTAATTCCATCTAGGGGGGGGGGAGGGACTTCGATATAAGCGTAACGTGTATGCATACGCTCTGGCTGCCTGTCCCCCGACACAGTGAATTACTATTATTATAACTTGTTGTAAGTCATTAGAGGTTATAACTATGTTACTACACAAACTTATGGCTTTGTTAACAATGGGCTATTACCCCAACAGTTTGGAGGTTATGTACGTGTACCATCAATGTATCTTGTTACATGTGTACCAACAGTGTACCTTGTTACATGTGTACCTTGTTACATGTGTACGAACAGTGTACCTTGTTACATGTGTACGAACAGTGTACCTTGTTACATGTGTACCTTGTTACATGTGTACCAAAAGTGTGTACCTTGTTACATGTGTACCAACAGTGTATCTTGTTACATGTGTACCATCAGTGTATCTTGTTACATGTGTACTTTGTTATGTGTACCAACAGTGTACCTTGTTACATGTGTACCATCAGTGTACCTTGTTACATGTGTACCAACAGTGTACCTTGTTACATGTGTACCAACAGTGTACCTTGTTACATGTGTACCAACAGTGTACCTTGCTACATGTGTACCATCAGTGTACCTTGTTACATGTGTACCAACAGTGTACCTTGTTACATGTGTACCATCAGTGTACCTTGTTACATGTGTACCAACAGTGTACCTTGTTACATGTGTACCATCAGTGTACCTTGTTACATGTGTACCAACAGTGTACCTTGTTACATGTGTACCAACAGTGTACCTTGTTACATGTGTACCATCAGTGTACCTTGTAACATGTGTACCAACAGTGTACCTTGTCACATGTGTACCATCAGTGTACCTTGTTACATGTGTACCATCAGTGTACCTTGTTACATTTGTACCATCAGTGTATCTTGTTACAAGTGTACCATCAGTGTACCTTGTTACATGTGTACCATCAGTGTACCGTGTTACATGTGTACCATCAGTGTACCTTGTTACATGTGTACCAACAGTGTACCTTGTTACATGTGTACTATCAGTGTACCTTGTTACATGTGTACAATCAGTGTACCGTGTTACATGTGTACCATCAGTGTATCTTGTTACATGTGTACCATCAGTGTATCTTGTTACATGTGTACCATCAGTGTACCTTGTTACATGTGTACCATCAGTGTACCTTGTTACATGTGTACAATCAGTGTGTACCTTGTTACATGTGTACCATCAGTGTGCACCTTGTTACATGTGTACCATCAGTGTGTACCTTGTTACATGTGTACCATCAGTGTACCTTGTTGCATGTGTACCATCAGTGTGTACCGTGTTACATGTGTACCATCAGTGTGTACCGTGTTACATGTGTACCATCAGTGTATCTTGTTACATGTGTACCATCAGTGTACCGTGTTACATGTGTACCATCAGTGTGTACCTTGTTACATGTGTACCATCAGTGTACCGTGTTACATGTGTACCATCAGTGTGTACCTTGTTACATGTGTACCATCAGTGTGTACCTTGTTACATGTGTACCATCAGTGTGTACCTTGTTACATGTGTACAATCAGTGTGTACCTTGTTACATGTGTACCATCAGTGTGTACCTTGTTACATGTGTACCATCAGTGTGTACCTTGTCACATGTGTACCATCAGTGTGTACCTTGTTATATGTGTACCATCAGTGTACCTTGTTACATGTGTACCATCAGTGTGTACCGTGTTACATGTGTACCATCAGTGTATCTTGTTACATGTGTACCATCAGTGTATCTTGTTACATGTGTACCATCAGTGTACCGTGTTACATGTGTACCATCAGTGTGTACCTTGTCACATGTGTACCATCTGTGTGTACCTTGTCACATGTGTACCATCAGTGTGTACCTTGTTACATGTGTACCATCAGTGTACCTTGTTACATGTGTACCATCAGTGTGTACCTTGTCACATGTGTACCATCAGTGTGTACCTTGTCACATGTGTACCATCAGTGTGTTGCTTGTTACATGTACCATCATTGTGTACCTTGTTACACGTGTACCATCAGTGTGTACCTTGTTACATGTGTACCATCAGTGTGTACCTTGTTACATATGTACCATCAGTGTGTACCTTGTCACATGTGTACCATCAGTGTGTACCTTGTTTCATGTGTACCATCAGTGTGTACCTGTTACATGTATACCATCAGTGTGTACCTTGTTACATGTGTACCATCAGTGTGTACATTGTTACACGTGTACCATCAGTGTGTACCTTGTTACATGTGTACCATCAGTGTGTACCTTGTGACATGTGTACCATCAGTGTGTACCTTGTTACATGTGTACCATCAGTGTGTACCTTGTTACATGTGTACCATCAGTGTGTACCTTGTTACATGTGTACCATCAGTGTGTACCTTGTTACATGTGTACCATCAGTGTGTACCTTGTTACATGTGTACCATCAGTGTGTACCTTGTTACATGTGTACCATCAGTGTGTACCTTGTTACACGTGTACCATCAATGTGTACCTTGTTACATGTGTACCATCAGTGTGTAGCTTGTTACATGTGTACCATCAGTGTGTACCTTGTTACACGTGTACCATCAGTGTACCTTGTTACATGTGTACCATCAGTGTACCTTGTTACATGTGTACCATCAGTGTGTACCTTGTTACATGTGTACCATCAGTGTGTACCTTGTTACACGTGTACCATCAGTGTGTACCTTGTTACACGTGTACCATCAGTGTGTACCTTGTTACATGTGTACCATCAGTGTGTACCTTGTTACATGTGTACCATCAGTGTGTACCTTGTTACATGTGTACCATCAGTGTGTACCTTGTTACACGTGTACCATCAGTGTGTACCTTGTTACACGTGTACCATCAGTGTGTACCTTGTTACATGTGTACCATCAGTGTGTACCTTGTTACATGTGTACCATCAGTGTGTACCTTGTTGCATGTGTACCATCAGTGTGTACCTTGTTACATGTGTACCATCAGTGTGTACGTTGTTACACGTGTACTATCAGTGTGTACCTTGTTACACGTGTACCATCAGTGTGTACCTTGTTACACGTGTTCCATCAGTGTGTAACTTGTTACACGTGTACCATCAGTGTGTACCTTGTCACATGTGTACCATCAGTGTGTACCTTGTCACATGTGTACCATCAGTGTGTACCTTGTCACATGTGTACCATCAGTGTGTACCTTGTTGCATGTGTACCATCAGTGTGTACCTTGTTACATGTGTACCATCAGTGTGTACCGTGTTACATGTGTACCATCAGTGTATCTTGTTACATGTGTACCATCAGTGTATCTTGTTACAT